ACCACCCCACTCTACCTTCTGTCTCTGTGAATTTCACCCCTCTAGGTACCCTCATGGCAATGCCTTAGCTCTCTAATGTGTCGCCTGGATGATCGCAGCGGTCTCCTTCCTGGTATTCCTGATTCCCGTGATTCCCCCCATTCACCTTCCACGGTGCCACCAGTGGAAATAACATGTCACACTCAAGGGCTCTCTTTGCTTTCAGGATGAGATCTGTGCTGCTTAGCATGACATCATAGCTTTTCCCACCCAGCTCCTGCCCAGCTTTCCAGCAGCCCAGAATTTAACGAGCCACCTCCAACACCTGCAGTCCACACATGCTGAAGCACTGCAAGTTACCTACATGCTCTGAATGTTTCTAAATTCTATGATCTTGCACACAGCCCACTGCTGTCACCACCATTCTTGTGGAGCCTTGACCATAAGTCACACTGTCTCCCCCTTGAGTTACTGGAGCACCTCGAATTACATCTCCCCTGTCTTGGGTCTTAAGTAAATCTGTTTCCTCGAATATCTGTCTACCCTGAAAGACTACAAGATCCTCGAGGACAAGGCTGTATTGTATTTACTTTTTCTGCCTAGAGACTAGAACAGTGGCTGGCCCATAAGTATTCCATGGATACTCATTGAATGAATGAGTGTGATACATATGTGTTTAGGTGGACAAAGGTGTGTGTGAATGTCCATTGAGGGAGAGAGGGAGAGAGAGAGAAGCTTCACTCCACTGTGTTCAGTTGCTGGAGAGAAAAGGCTCCTTCAGCCTTTCTTCTGACCCCTCAGCTGTCACAGAATCTGGACAGAGCCCTGGACTGGAGGTCAGGAACCTGAGTTCCAGTCCTATCCCTTCCACTAGCCCCTATAATGAGCCGGTGTAGTTTCCTAACTTCTGCCCATTTCACTCCTCTCATCAGAAAACGAGAGGGTTGAGTGAGATCGCCGTTAGCCAAACTCGTTATTTATGTATTATCTTGGCTTTTCTTTTGCGTTATTAACACAGTTAGAATTACCCCAAATCAACTTCTTTCCTACATTTTTCTAATGCATATTAACCTTACATAGTTATTAATAATTTTTTGAAAATTGTCTTTCGGATGCCGAATGCCCATCTAGCCTGTGACATTTGTCATCAACAGGGTTGTCTGGATTTGTAGGTCTCCCCTAACCTGGGGGCTGTGCCTGCAGTTTTCACAGCGGCCACCGGGGGGACTTGGTGCTGGGCTGGAGCTCACAGAAGCCCGGAGCCTGGGTGGGAAGGATTCCCCCAGGCCAGGGGCTCCCGAGTCACGGGGGAACAGGATGCTTTCCAATGAACGGTACTTCCTTTGTGGAAATAAGATAGTCGTATTGACTTGGCAAATTTTCAACGAATTAATAACACAAATAAGTGTCTCCTAACCTTTTGGGATCAAGTATTTCTTTGAGAACCTGGTGAAAGCTGCAGACTTCTGTCACCAAACCACAGGTGCACAGACTCACAAGCGGGTGCGTGCAGTTTCGGGGCACGCCCCGATCCGCCCCCTCTCCAGGGGCCTTCAGATCTCAGGTTAACAAAATTTCCTTTAGAATAAGATTGAAGGAAATGTGATCACCCATGTACAGTCAGGCACTTCAGTTTTAATTTTTACTGTCACTGTGTTCATCATAACCCCTGTTTAATTCAACTTTCTGAAAAGCAGTATAATTCCCTGAGGCTTGGGGAGGAGACCACCCGGAATCACACCCAGTTTGTTCGGGCCCTCCCTGCAGCCCAGGGAGTTTTAGCTGCTGCCTTCGTGGGTTAACAGGCTCCTTCAGTAGCGGATACGGGCGCTCTCAGTAACGCACGGGGGTCACTGGGGTGCCTCGACTCAGTGGGTACCCATGCAGCATGGTTTCTCTCTTCTCCAGTCTCCACTGTGCCATTGAATACATCTCTACTACTTCTCTCTTTCACTTTTTGTTGAATGTATTGGGGCGACACTGGTTAGCAAAATTATACCGGTTTCAGGTGCACAGTTCTACAACACATCATCCGTACACTGTATGGTGTCCATCTGTCACCATTTATTGCCCCGATACCTTTTCCCCCTTCCTCCCTCCCCCCATCTCTCCTACTTCTTCTTCTTTTTTAAAAAAAGTATATCTTTATTGATTTTAGACAGAGGAAGGGAGAGGGGGAGAGAGAGAGAGAGAGAGAGAGAGAGAGAAAAACATCAATGATGAGAGAGTCATTGATTGAGCCCGAAACCCGGGCATGTGCCCTGACCTGGAATCGAACCCTGATTGCCTGGATCCTAGGCTGGCACTCAACCGCTGAGCCACGCCCGGCCGGGCTCTCCTACTTCTTTATGATATCTTGAGCGGATAAGAGAAATGTCTGGGTCATTTTCAGTTACTGCTGTTCATTCATCCAGTCCAGGAATGTCAATTATACACTCAATTCAAACCTTTCCCTGTCTGGTGTCTGTAATCCTCTCCCTGCTGGTCACTGCTGCCTCCCTGGCTACTAGAGGCTGGGAACCCCCAGTACGTAGGTGTTGACACACTTGCTCTCTTATGGGACTCGTGTAGGTTCCCCAGTGGACACCACAGGGCCTCCCGCTGCCCAGATCCCAGTGAGAATGAAGCATCCTCCACTCACTTGGGAAGCCACCACTTTTCACATAAACTCAGCCTCTTTCTGTGGGGTCCCCTTGCCCAATGACACACTTGCTGTGAGGATAACTCTTGTGATCAAGAACCCAAACTTGATTTATGAGAAGCTCACGTGTCTTTGCCACAGTGAATAGTGGGCGACCAGGCTGCCCATTAAAGACCCTCTCTCTCCTCCATGGCTCTCCAGTTCCTTTATCCAGAAGGTTCCTAGTAGGACTGAGTCCCAGTCGCCCATCTGGTGATTATCACATTAGTGCTCCGCTTATTGACTTTTCCTCTTTCGTGCTCCCTCACTCTTAGTTTTGTTGTAATTACTTCTCCAAAAAAGCAGCACCGACTCAGATCCTTGTCTCAGATGTTGCTATTAAGAGAACCCAAACTTAGCCCTGGCTGGTTTAGTTCAGTGGTTAGAGCGTCGGCCCGCGGACTGAGGAGTCCCGGGTTCAATTCCAGCCAAGGGCATGTACCTCGGTTGCAGGCTTGGCCCCGGTCAGGCGTGTGCGGTGTGTCTCTCACATCGATGTTTCTCTCTCTCCCTCTCTCTCTCCCTTCCACTCTTTCTGAAAAGCAATGGAAAAAATATCCTCTGGTGAGGATTTAAAAAAAAAAAAAAGAAGAAAAAAAAAAAAAGAGAACCCAAACTTGGCTGGAGAATCAGATGCCAGTCTTCCATCTTGCAGGGCACTCCCTGTCTTTTGACCGAGTCTAGTGGATTTCCTTTCTTTCTTTAAAAAAAAAAAAAAATTTATTGATTTTAGAGAGAGAGGAAAGGAAGAGGGAGAGAGAGAGGATAAAAACATTGATGAGAGAGAGACATTGATCGGCTGCCTCCTGCACGCTCTCTACTGGGGATCGAGCCCACAACTCGGGCATGTGCCCTGACCAGGAATCGAACAGGGGACCTCTTGGTTCATGGGTCGACGCTCAACCACTGAGCTATACCAGCTGGGCGATTTCCTCTCGTTTGGTTTGAGTGGAGAGCATATTCCCTCTTTGCCCCCTCCTCCCATGGCCGGGGAAGGGCGGGGAGAACACCTCTCAGGAAGATTTCTCCTCCTGCACGGCCAGTGGGGCTGTGTGTTGAGAGCGATGGGTGACTGTGGTAGCATTGCCTGTGCAGCCCCTGGAGATTCGGAATGGGGGCGTTTAGGCCTGTGCCCTTCTAATTCTGGAGCAACGGGAAGATTCCACCTCGATGTCCTGCTCCAATCAAAAGAGAGTTATTTTTCCCCTTCTCATAAGAGAGGGGTTTGGCTTATTTTTACATGTATGACTATAATTTTCTCATTAATTCTTTGCATTTCTCTGACTATATCTCCCACGTGGTTTCCCCATATGCACAGTAAAATTGGTCGTATGTACAACCTAAATTAGGTGTGTGCAGAATGTTCTTTATTAAAGGCCCTTTCCCAATGGACAACTTAAAACACAAGTAAACAAAACACAGGCGAGTTTAAAAACAAAGATAACAATGGTTTCCAGTGGGGCTTGTCAAGGTGGAACCTGGCCAAGCGTTTC